TGGGCCATCAGAGCTGTGGGGGCTTCAGGCCGGCCTGGCCCGGGGTGGGTCTGAGGAGAGGGCAGCGAGGTGTAGGAGGCCATGTGGGCGGGTGGCCTGCTCTGTCCCTGTCCGCCAGGGACTCTGCTGAATGGCCTGAAGTCTGAGACTTTAGCAGTGTCAAGGGCAGGCTCGCGAGGCTGGGGTGGAAGCCGGGCTGGGAGGGTTAGGGTTAGGCGGCCCGGCTCACCCCGAAGGAGTCCTCGGTCTGCGCGGGCTCCTTCCGCGGGCTGGCCCAGCTCCCCACACCCGCTGCACCTGGGATGGGGCAGGTCTGGCTGTGGGTCCTCGGGCTGACCCACCTCCCTGGGGACAGCACTGGGCTGCGCACAGAGGGCTCAGGCCCAGCCGACCGGAGGAAACTGGATGTCCAGCCCTAGGGGATGTCCCAGCAGAGTCACTGGTTGGGCTGCTGACCCGATACTGGCGGCCCCACCTGAGCTGATGAGGAGGGGTTGGGGGGGCCCCACCTCGCCCTGCAGAGCAGGTAGGCACATCCTGGGGAGAGCTGGTTTTGGGGTGCCGCCTCTGCCCAGGGGAGAGGAGGCTGGGCAGGCAGGACTCTGGGTGCACGGGGTCACTGGTGGGCTCACCATCCGGGCTGGGGGCACCTGAATAGGAGCTGGTGGGCTGGGCGGGCCGGTCCACTGGACGACTGGCCCTAACCCTGACCCCTGACCTCAGGCCTCCGGGAGGGAGACCAGCTCCCGTGGCCAGGCGCCCGCGCCCTCTCACGCCGCTGTCCTCCCGTAGCAGCTCCTGGCCGCCAGGAGTCCGGCGGGGACCCGAGCGGGCTGCTCAGGGACCTCGGGGATGTCTTGTGGGCGCGGGGCGCAGGGCAGGCGGTTGTGCTCCGGGATGGAAAGGCGACCAGGAGCGTGAGGAGCACGGCGCAGGCCCGGGAGATGAAGGGCGTTGGGGGACGACCGCGCGCTGCGGGGAGAGCGGGGAGAGCGGGGAGGGGCAGGGCTGCGGGCGGGCCGGGCCGGGCGTGCTTCCTGCGACCTGCTGGCCCTGCGGGTCCCCGTCCAGCCCGCGTTCCGCCGGCCATCCACCCGCCCTCCCGTCCTCCAGCCGCTCCCTCACCGCGGGCGGCTCGGACACACGCTGCGTCTGGGCAGGGAGTCACCGCTGGTCCCCCGGGAGTGCGGACCGGCGTGCGCAGGCTTTGGGCTCTCTGTGAAGAGCGGGGCATCGCGGTGTGGAAATGGCGGCGACGATAACCCGCAGGTCCCCGACGGGCCTGGGCTCTGTGCCAAGGCTGCGGACGCTGAGGGGCCGCTCTGCCGGGACTGGACTCTGGTCTGCGCTGCCGCCGTCTCGCCTAAACTGCCTGAGAGTCCCTGCTCTGCCCTAGCACCAGTCGTCTCCTTGGCCACACGGCAGGCGGAGAGGCCCCTTAAGTCCCCAAAGCAATGTCCCTGCAACCACTGTGACCTGAGCCAGCTCCTCCCCTCAGGACCCTACTCATGGGGCAGCGCGGGTCCCCTCCCAGACCTCTCCTTGCAGGCTCTGCCCCGCCACACCGGGCCCCCCACCTGTGTCAGGGATTGGTCTGGGCACCGGCCTGGGCTGCCTGGCCCTTGTTCTGGGCTGTGCTC